CAACATTCGTACAAATATACAAGCATACATAAATAAATATATATACGAGTAATTATATATACACATACATTCACTTAAGGAAAATTTCAAGTAGTGTTCTCGTACTCTTCTCTTAACCTATGTATACGGTGCATTTCTTACGTCCAAAGGTAACTACATTCCATAGGGATATCACAGTGAGAGAAAAAAACTGAAACAAATATAGAATGATGAACATGTGTGTGAGGCACCAGATTAGAACTGGAGCGAAGTTGTCTTTGGTGAGAAGCTGAAGCTGCTAGGAACTGAAACCTAGATCTCAAATACTCAGGTGCTTTTGGATCGTAAAGAATAGTGAAGAGAGTGCATACCATTCTTAAATTCCTACGGTTATTCTCAGTACAAGGTCTCCCGCCATAGTTTTGCGAACCATTGGCGTAATTTTCGACTTTCACAAATGCTCTATAAAAGCCTAAGGGCCAGTTTCACCGGTTACTGATAAAGTTTCAGATAGTTATCTGATAGTTAACGCTATCTACTGGATAAAGGTTGCTGTTAACTTTTTTCTGTTTCACCATCAAACTGCTAGATAATTTATCTGGCAGATAAGTTATCGGCCACTTATTAGTTGACGGAACGGCAACGTCGCTTTTTTGCGTTTCAATACTACGACCCAAATTATCGTCAATCAAAAATCATTTTTAAAACTTAATTAATATTTTTTTTGTATTCAATATTATTTAAGTAAACTTTTTTCATATAATCTGAATTATAATTTTATGATTCTAGAATGAAAATAATACGATATTCGTATACTTAGCTACGTGTTTACAGAAACGAAACGCAACTATCATTTGTTTTGCTTTGTTGATATTTTGTACTTAAGACGCTTTTCAATTTTTAAACTTTTCTTTGTGTATTCTTTTTGGATCTGTTAATTAATAATGAAAAAACAAAAACGTGAAAGAAGTGTGAATTTTAATTAAGAAGAAACGGAGCTTCTTTATTTACTAGTTAACGGAGATTTTTTACTTAGTAGCCCGTTGTAGTTTTTATATCACTTTCTATTAACGATAGAATATAAACAACAGCCGAAATCGATTCCTAAAATCTTGAACGTCAAGTGATTCTAAATAATTAGGTCTAGGGTTAATTACTCGATTCCTACGGGGTCGCGTAATACGTTCGAAATATTCATCTAATTCGTCTTCTAAAAACACAAATAAATCCATTTTAGAATATTTGTGACACTTGTGACTGCAATCAACGCAAAGCACACAATAATGGTCTAAAACTAAAACTATTTTCGTTCCCGTCACTTGAAACTTTTTTTTATCTATCAGATAACGTCTATATCAGCCACTTGAACCGGCTGATAAGATATCTAATACTTTATCTACCAGATATAGTTATCCGAGACCTGTGAAATCAAAAGTTATAGTTTATCTGGCAGATAAGTTCCTAATAGACTATCAGGGACTTTAACAGCAACTGGTGAAACCGGCCCTAAACTGAATAAACGATTTTGATTGATTGATTGATACGTTCGCGGACAGGCAACCATTGAGTTGGTCACGAAAGTCGGAGATGTGGTCATATTTACGTAGACCGAAAACAAAGCGAATAATATTATTACGAAGACGATTCAACTTATCAAGAAATATTTGTTTAATGTTAGAAAAACAAATATTGTAGCAAGAAATAATTAAACATGGTACATGTGACCTTTAACTTTACTTTATTTGACTTGAGCAATGCATGACGAAATTAACGGAAAAATTTGTACTATGGATGAAATCAATTCGAAACTAATCCCACTGTACATGCACCTGTAAATGTACAGAGATTTTTTTTTCTATAGTATCCTTTACGAAATTTTCTTAACTTTTTTAAAATAAATTTTGCAAAAGCTTTCTACTATTCTAGGTTATTTATTTGGTAACAAAAAATCAATTATCTCATGTTCTTTATATATACAGATCGTAATGGTAACCCCATATCCATCAGAGTCAAAGGAAGCGGACGAAACGAGTTATGCAAATTATACAGCTAGCATTAGAATTCTGAAAATTTGGCGCGTACATAATATGTGGTATGATTCATATGCTTCTTATATGTTAGACGTGTGCGCCGCGCCGCGCCGATGACTGACGCCGCCGATCATGACACGCCGCCGCTGACTGGTTCGAAAGACCGGCGTAAACGACGCGGGATGACACGAAGTACGAATAGCATTCGTTCGCTCGGTTGCTAAGCAACATAGTGCATTCTGTGCGGCACGTGTTAATTCCGTTTCGTATCAATTAATGTTGCACTCGTTTTCAGGATAAAGTTGGCAGAAATAAAAAATTCAATACTTACCCTTATTTGTCTACTCTAGCTAATCCGCTACAAGAACATCTAGCGAACGTGTATTCTCTGTAGCTGGCCTTACTAAAACGGTTAAACGATTGCGCCTAACTGAGAATAATATCAATAAAATAATTTCTATACGTGATAACTATTAGGTTGGGGTGATATACGTGATAAAAGTCTTTTCGCATATAGTATGCATAAAGTTGTAATACAGTCATCGTAGTTGTCATTTCTATATGGTTGGTTCCGGTATCATTAAAAAGTTTAAATTTTAAAGAAGATTTCGAATTCAAATTAAGAAAATATGTGATTTTCATTTGTTTTTCTAACTGGTGATAAAATCACGTACGACAAGAATATGCGCAAAAAATTGTGGTCAAAGGTCGGTCAGGCTTTACAGAATGTGGCGAAACCCGGGTTAGCTGGCAAAAAGGTGATTCTGTTTGTACGGTGGAATTGGAAGGGTATTATTCATTATGAGCTGCTACTGTCAGGCAGTATCATGGATTCTGAACTCTACTGCGAATAACTAATGAGATTAAAGCAAGAAGTTGAGAGAAAGCGGCCAGAATTAATCAATAGAAAGGGAGTGGTTTTCCAATAAATTAACAATAAATCCTGACCTTGCACCTTCAGATTTCCACCTGTTTAGGTCTCTACAGGATTTTTTAGGCAGTGTCCAGTTAACATCACGCATAATACACGCGTGATGTTAACTGGACACTGCCTAAAAAACCACTTGACGCAGTTTCTTGATTAGACGCCCCAAAATTTCTATAGCAATGGGATCATGTCCCTACCTACAAGATGGCAAAAAGTTATCGAACAAAATAGTACCTATATATTGTTGTTTAATATCATTATGACTACGTTACATAATTTAGAAGAGTATAATTGTGGCATAATTGATTGTTACTTAAAAGGTGTCATTAGTTTAAGTAGCTTTTATATTTGTTATGTCAATAAAGGCATTCTGAATTGTTTGAATTTTAATTTCCATCATTTGACATAACGACGCCGCTTACGCCGCCATTTACGCCGCCGCCACTTAATTTTTAGCTCCACGCCGCCGCTAAAGATTTCGGCATCGGGGCACATGCCTAGTATATATACACTAAGAATTATAAATTTCCTTTCTTTGGCCTTCCAGATTGCATTCTATTCTGATAGATGTTTAAATACCTTAAAAGGAACACACAACGACTATGTGATCGAGTTTTTTCACATAAAATACGTAAATAATCCCAAAATGAGGTCATGTAATAATAATCATAATTTCCTGTTATATATCATAAAATGAAAATAGTATCAGATTAAATTGCATTATTTTTATGGATATCATATACGGTACCGTAAATGCGTAGATATGTTACATATCTACTTATAATTACCAATACCAAGGTCATTTCTACATACACTATTTATGTCGCGCGACTTGGTTTGTATGAAATTAAATTTCCTTTTGAGACTTTCCAAAATCACATTGTATCGTGCTCACATTAAATTGAGGTATTGCGCTCCCGCTGAATTAATAACTCTAATGTACTATTAGTTCTGTATTTAATGATACTGTCACCAGGATTTTAGGAGACAGAGAGAAGTGTAATAGCCGAGTTATAGCTCAGCAGTGGGCGCGTACGGATGTAGATTATGATGATGATGTATATATTTTTCTTCCCATTCTCTTATCGTTTCACAAAAATGAAGCATTTCGTTATATTTATTAAGGCGGAATATAAAGGGGTTAGTAAACACAAGGAGGTCAAGGAAAAAGGACCGAAATATTGACACATGTTGAGAATATTAATAAAAATAATTCTTATTGTATAACGAACAAACGAACGCGATAACGATAAAATTATATACAAAACTGCAATTATATTTATGATATGTTTGACGTCAATTTATTAAAGCCGATGAATATATCGCGCACGATTAATAGTTACTTAATGTTTTATGACTTTGTACTTACATCATAAAACAGATAATAGTCCACGTTGCACTGACATCAGGGGAATCAAGAGTTCTACTAACAGTAAGAGAGTAGAGAAGACTGGCACATCTGGTGGCAAATAAAGCCGTTATATTCGGGAATGGATTGCCCTTACTTTAGATTGAGATTTGAAATTGAACGTTTCAAATTGCATATTTTTATGTTGCTTTTTAAATCCTTTGGATAAAAACAATAACAATGAGTTTTGATGAGATATTAGTCGAATTTGAAAATCAATCATTGATTGTTAACTTTCATAGCATAGATTTTATTGATGGTACGAAAGTATTAATAATTTTTAAAGATTCCGTAACTTAAAAGAAAAAGTGCCTAAAAACCACTCAAAAGGGGTGCAAAATGTCTAAAAATGTTATCAATCCATTTGTACCAAAGTTTAAAAGATTTTTAATAATAAATATATCGCATATATTATAGGTCAATATACATCTGCGTAATATTAGCTTCGAAGTCCATAAATCTGCTTTAGTCAACGCTATAATCTATATAGATAATTAAACCTGCAGATTAAGTAACAAAACTTTTATTAGGAGTTTAACAAAAGCAATCATTTGGGTGAAGCTTGCATCAGCGAGTACCAGGGTCTTTGTTCTTGCGGCATTTGAATTGGGATTGATATAGAAAAAAACTCAAAAATATTTTTTCCGATTTCAACATGTCTGCAAGTAGAAGAGGCAGTGTTGAGTTCACCGAGAAGCCTATCGATAAGCCGGTGGACTTGGATGATATCCTGGTGAACGAGCTGGGTCAGTTTGGGAGGTTTCAAATGACTAATCTGTTGCTGGTGGCGATACCTCTCATCATGTCAGCGTTCATGACCGAGTACATCTTCTCTGCTGCAGCTGTACCACACAGGTATTTGGTTGTTTAAATAAGTATTTTTGAATCATTCCAGACAAATTTTAATCTTGCATAAGCTTAAAATATAATTCATGATAGAAGAAGAAGAAGAAGTTAATAATAACTATACTAAGTTTCTTGCCGGTGCTTCTCAATACAAGGTCTTCTGCTGTAGATTTGCAGACCAGTGATATAGTTTGATAAGTTATTTATAAGTGCCTGTAATACTTAGACTGAATAAATTATATTGAATTGCTCCAATTTTTTTTTTATTAAATACAGGACATAACTATTAGCTTTACTAATGTCGAAATTGCAAAAAAATGTATTATAAGTCCGATATGCTATTTTTTTATATATATTTAAGGGGTTTTTATTCTTTTGAAGATGTCAACCCCATCATATAATACTTAAATCTAAATTAATTTAACGAGAATATTTCACTAGAGTAATTTAACAGTATTTATTAAAGTTTATCTTTTTATCAGTAATTTACGTAATTTTTGTGCAATGATAGCCTCTGCTTATACTTTGAATAAATCCAATATCTAAAAAAAAATACTTTAATTCTTTCATAAATGATTCCTCATCTTTGTTTCTAATACACTCTATGATCTGAATTCTAAAAAACAGAAAATTCTATTTTATCAGTTTCATAAGTGTAGAAAATTATAAAACTTTGACTTCTGTCTCCAGATGTATGATATCGGAATGTGGGGAAGAGCCACGTGGTCTAACATTTCATCAAGAATGGATCAGTAATGCGATCCCGGAGACTAACAATGGTTTCTCAAGCTGCGAACGATTCGCGCCTGCCGGTGGTACGGGATCTCTGGCCTCATGCCCTGCAAACTTATTCGACCAAAGCAACACTCAACAATGCGAATCTTTTGTTTACGATAGAGAAAACTCAGTTGTCTATGAAGTAAGTGTAGTTCTTAATAAATTGAGATACTTCTTTTATTTGTAATCGCAACGCACTCAGTTTTCATCAGGCACAGTTAATTAGTTTAAAATACGTCACAGTCAGTCAATAAATCTTTCTAAATTGCTTTGAATATATTCGCATTCATGAGTAAGAGAGCATTCCGCACTGCGTTAAGCTTTTTTTAAATACAGTTTCAACAGTGTATTACGTACAAAATTTGTTTACAGTTCAATCTAGGATGCCAGGAATGGATGCGTGCATTGGCCGGTACTCTCAGTAGCGTTGGTACTTTTCTGGCAATGCCTTTGACAGGATACGTGTCCGATAAGTTCGGAAGGAGGGTTGCGCTCGTCATCAGTATCTTTAATTTTGCCCTATTTGGTCTCATCCGAGCCTTTTCAGTCAACTACCCCATGTACCTGGCCATGCAGTTATTACAGTCCATGTTTGGCGCTGGCATCTTCAGTTCTGCATATATCTTTGGTAAGTATTTTCTTAATGTCATATTTTACAATTACAGATATTAAAATATATACACACTGTGTGGAACAGAACGACCGACACTCCCGAAATTATATGTCTCGGTCAAATAGTTTCGGAGATATTAAATTATAAAGTTTTTGGAAAAAAATGAGTGTTTTCAACCCTGAGTCAGCTGTTTTTGGGACGTACTAAGGAACAAGTTTTTAATCGGTCATTGACTTCTTCATTTCTAAACACGAAATAAACTAGTTTATGATTTATAAGACTGCTTTCATGCAAATTCTACCAGAAAATCACTAAACAAGGCAGTCAAAATGCTTAAATTGATTGACAGACTAACAGCCGGTTTATGATTTGAAAAAGGTAGAAAATCTCTACTGCTTATTCTCAATATTACTATTTTACTAACATTAAATAAATCATTGGAAAAAAATTATTCTAATGGTAACTAATTTACATTACGTTACAACATTATTTCAAATAGTCAGAGTTTCCAAAAAATTTATAACATGACTTTATATAACATAAAGTACATTTGTGATAATAATGAACCATTATCACAAATGTACTTTATGTTAGTGGATGATGTATTAGTTTAACTACTTTAATAAATGATCGTGTTATTTGATCCATTTATTTAAAATTTTTTGGAAACTCTGAGTATTTGAAATAATGTAGTAACGTAATGTAAATTAGTTATCACAAATGTACTTTATGTTGAAACACAAAGTAAGGGTTTGGTTACTTATTTAAAATGTATTTAAAAAGACTTTTTGTCGATTTTTGTTTTGTTCTAGTGCATTTATTAATTAAATTTTTGTTAATGAGATACAATAGTGTTCGTCTTGCGTGTTAAGTTTAGTTTAGTGAAGATTGTGTTTAGTTTTGTGTGAAATGTGATATGCTTTGCGCGTGCATGCACTGGTATGCAAAAGAGCGTGCTTAGCTATTTTCAGAGAAGAATTGGACATTTTCAGCATCGACTATCATTAAGATATCGGTAAATAATTAAATTGAATTAATGTATTTCGCGGTCCGTTGTTGTCTGCGCACAATCGATATTGCGCATGCGCGTTATAGGGCTCTCAACACTTAGAAATATAAATTTTTACTCCATTTTTACACCTCCTCTATTTCGAAATATTTGTCAAATAATGAACGTTTGCATATAACCTAACTTGAAACTTTCGGCTGTGTCGGTCATTTTGTTGCTCCCTGTATGATGGCATGAATAAATTGATTAAGAACTTTCAGTAATTTGGAACAAACACTGGCTAAATCAAAATGGAAGTTAGTAGATAAAATCTGTTTTTTTTAAAACCAATCGTTGTACTACGATATAAGGTTTCTCATTTTTTATATACTCCAGAAATCTGCACAGAACTGTAAAATTTCATACTTCCTATGAGATAACGTATAGGTCTATTTCAAAATTTATTTCATAACTGAGTGACTTTTTTATATTTTTTACTAGCTGCTGAATTAGTCGGTCCTAAGTTCCGGGTCTTAACAAGTGCGACGTGTTCATCTATGTTTGCGGTGGGTCAAGTAATCCTCGGCAGTGTAGCGTGGGTAGTTCAACCGTGGCGATACATGATCATGGCCATTCACATTCCCTGCTTCCTCATCATCGTCTATTACTGGATACTGTCAGAGAGCGTCAGGTGGCTGCTATCAAAGGGAAGATATGAAGACGCAAAGAGGGTGCTGGAGAAGGTGGCGAGGGTCAATAAAAGGCAAATAAGTGAGAAGTCGTTGAACGCATTGATGAATCCTCCGAAGACTCCAGTCGTGGAAGAGAAAAAGGTATTGTTAGATACATATTACTATCTATACACACACAAAAAAGTATTTAGAAAATTTTGGAGATCAATGAAATCAATTGAGAAGCTCTAGTTGGAACTTGACGATATTTTACATATCACATATAGGTACTAAACCTAAAACATAACCCAAGACATATTGCTAAAATTACAAGTCATCACGTAAAATATCCTCACGTAATATCAATTGTAATAAATAATATTTAGATTATGGTATTTTACTAAATGTAATATTCTTCAGGATGAACAGAGTATGATTGTTACGGTAGCAAAGTCTCCTGTACTTCGACGGCGAGTAGCCACAACCCCTATCTGGTGGATTACCACCACCTTCGTGTACTATGGCCTTTCAATCAACTCAACCAGCTTATCAGAAAGCATGTACTTAAACTACATCCTAACATGTGCAATTGAAATCCCTGGCTTCTTCACCGCCGTGCTCTTGCTGGATTGGATTGGCAGGAAGTCTACTCTCTGTGGAGGTTTTTTCTTGAGTGCTGCTTGCAACATCGCATTCGCATTCATTCCATCAGGTACTTATACTTGTCGTTTTCGACTTTATGTACTCTATTCTAATGCTGTATTTAAAATAATAAACTTATTTACAGTACAGTCAAATTTTTATATGATTATGGGCATTCAAAATATTAATATTTATTTTAAAATCGCTGGGTCAGAAATATTATTGTACATTCACATAATAACTAGCAATACACAATAATAACCAAATAATATATGTCAATTTCAACTGATAAACAAACTTCAATAATAAATGGTAACATTATATAACGTGATCATTTCAGAACTGGCTATTCTCCGCTTGATATTGTATTTGTTGGGCAAGTTTGGGATCTCTCTGGTGTTCACATCGCTGTACCTGTACACATCAGAGCTGTACCCTACGCAGTACCGACACAGCCTGCTTGCCTTCTCTTCTATGATTGGCAGGATAGGATCCACCACCGCCCCACTCACCCCAGTATTAGTAAGACAAACATATTTTCATTATTCTAAATATCCATAGTCTATAGTAATTCATTTCATTGATACCTAGAAGGTACATTGTTTTTATTAAATCAAACACCATGATCACGGAGTAGATAAAGTCTTGCGGGCGGAGGTTTTGACAAAAATTTCAAAAACATAACATAATATTGATCTTAATATTGTTACTATGTTAATAACTGCACATAAAGTAATCATTCCAATTATAACCCATCTGGCGAATCTATGTTTTCAGCAAAGTGTTTTCCCTCAAGGTTTAAAGCTAGCTATTGTTACACCTCTCTATATGGTAGGAGAAAAATATGATATTTCAAATTATATACCGATATCCATCCTTTCTGCTATATCAAAAATTTTAGAGAAATTAATGAACTTGAGACTTTTAAATTACCTTATTAAATTTAATATGCTGTCAATAAATCAATTTGATATTAGACAAGGGGTTAGAGCAAGTACTGCATCATCTGTAGCAGATGATGCAGTACTTGCTCTAACTTCTGTCGTAATTGAGAAAATTGACAGAGGCGACAGATGTGTGGCTATTTTCCTGGACCTTAATAAAGCTTTTCATACAGTCTCAATCTACACTCTTGCAGAGGCTGAAGGAGATTATAAAAATAAGATCACCACTGAAGTCGATTGAGGCTTTATTGCAAGACCGTATACAAAAGTATAAAATAGGAAAAGCCCTCAGCTCGGAAGCTCCAGTCGTTTATGGAGTGTCACAAGGAAGTGTTCTAGGCCCAACGTTTTTCCTTCTTTACATTAACGGTCTCTATAATATGAAAATTGAAGATGTAAACCTTTTCCATATGCCGCCGATATTTTCGCTAGGAAAACTTGGCATAACTAGAGAATGACAAAAATAATTTAATGGCTAAACTCGAATCTTCTACGTTAAATGTCATAAAATCTAATTATATTTGTTTCATAAAAGATAAACTAACTCAACCACCTGAAGATTACAAAAGTAAAATATATGAATGTAAAAAAGTTGTAAACTGTTCCTGTTTAATGTTGAATAAGGTACCACATATAAAGTATTTAGGTATGTTGGTAGACCATCGACTATCCTGGCATATGCAAATTGAATTAATACTGAATAGAACCAGAAAACTTATTTACATTTCCAAAAAATTACTATATATTGCCACAAATTTTATTTAAAAACAAATTTATTTTTGCCTGACAGAATCTATACTGGCATATTGCTTACCAATCTGGGGAGGTGCAACAAAAACTAAAAATATTGAAATCGAAAGGGCACAAAGATTATTACTAAAAGTAATGTTTTTAAATCATATAGATGTCCTACAGACAGACTATAGAGGATCTGAGATGCAAAACAAACGTAAAAGGCAACAAGTCGCACCTATAAAAACAGTAAAATCAACTTTTGCGGTGCGATAATATAATATACGATCGGCTCAACTATATATTTATGTAAACAAACCCTTACGCCCCGAGGAAATTGAATAAATGCATATAATTGAATAAATCAGAAAGCAACAGAAATAAAATGAAAAACAAGAAATATATATAAACTTCTTGAATTTGAGACGCGTGTGGGCTATAGCCATAAATATTAAATAAATCGTTGCTAAGTAGTCTTTAGGACTAAATATTACCTTGATTACCTTAAATAAACTAATAAATTTTACAAAGTGTGTAAAAATAATTTTTCTCTTATGTTGAAAAGTGCGATGTTTTCATTTAATAAACTACTACACTGAACCGAAGAAACCTATGATATCCATACGACGGCCTATGGATATCTAACATCGAGCATCGCATACAACAACAATAACCTAATAATATATAATAAAATAGGATCACACACACACACACACACACATACACACACGCGCGCATACATACACACACACAAACACCGCGCGCGCGTGTATAATTATTACTTATAAATACAAATGCCCTACATGCACTATACTTTAAATAGTTTTCTTTTTGCATTTATTTTTACTTTTATTCATAAATATATAGTTGTTATAAAATTAAAAATATACGAACACAGTGCTATGTAAATGGTAGAGTGGAATCTCCCAATACAAGCAAAAGATGTCTTCATAACTTATATCGACGCTGGAAAGCAAACATGTAGTAACCTGCAAAACTTATTTTGTCTAGATGAAGAAAAAAACATTTTTTCGTTTTTTTTTCATTAATCAAGGTTGTAAAGGTTTAAAGGTTCTATAAGAACCTACTTCAAAAAAAGGAACCTTTTTTTTATAGTGTCATCCAATGTCTATGGACTTTTCAGATGGAGTACTGGTCTGGTATTCCTTCAATAATGTTCGGCACCATGGGATTGCTCTCTGGTGTGCTGGTGCTGACGCAGCCTGAGACACTCGGCACCAAGATGCCCGACACTCTCGCGGAGGCCGAGGCATTAGGAAGACCAACGTTTAAGGGGCAAACAAGCTGATCTCGAAACTTGCTAATTTTAATAATATAGTTATAAGCAATCCCATAGCTTTGGGCACATTTAATGGGTCTAATTAGTAAATAAAGTTATTAGATTCGGCTTGACCAAGCCCATCCATCATATGCTGTCAGCTGCATGTCAATTTATATATGACACCAAGGAATCATAAGTTGCTTTTCATCGTCTGTCAGTTTAGTATAGTTTTATATTAAAAAAATACTCCCTTTAATATATCGAATCGTAGAATGCGACGGTTTATATTGATGCCACAACACAGTAAAGAACACAGATTTAGTTTTTGATAAAGCAGTAAAAGAAGAACAAAGCCAATACAACCCATTTACTTAGTTAAGTTATATCTAATATAGTTCATTAGCATTCCCGATATATATTAAGTTCTTTCGATATATCAAGTATTCTTAAGTAACACATGCAATGAATTTTGTAACGCATTTGAATATATGTTTTTTTTTTTGTTTATATTTGAAATTATACGAATCGTAATATCTACTTATAATGAATCTGTAAAATAGTGTGTCTGTACATTGAATATATTTACAAAAAAATAACTCTTATATGTTTTTGTTATAAAGAAACAGTAATAATATAACACGAATTTTAAAAATTCGCGCATCGACTTCTTGATCTCTGGCGATCAATGCCAAACCTGCCCTGCGATTCTGTAAAAATCTGATTCCGAATTCGAATTCACTCAGGTGTCCGGATTCACTTCAAAAACCGCATCAGCTCAACCTTGAATTGGTAATAACGCTTCGTGGCATAAGTGAAGTGAGTTTGGAAATGACATAGAATATCGAAGACACGTATATTTAATTTTGTATTTTCATACAAAAAATGGAATCAATAGAATTTCTATACTAAATGACGTGAGTTCGGACACATGAGTGAATTCTAATTCGGGTCTGGAATCTTAACAGAATCGCAGGGCTGGTGCGCGACTGAGCACAGATCATGATCGTCGTGCATTGTCTTGCAAATAGAAAACCTTCGTTCCGAACATGCACGTAGAAAAAACCTCAGAATCTACTAGAAAATAAATGAGAAAGAATTTCAGCAATATAGCGCGAAGAGATTTGCTTGAATTTTGTTTGACTTCGATATTTTGTTGAGAGAATAAAAGCTGCTAGTGTTGACTTGAGAACAGACTGTTTTTCTAAAGGCCAACTTTTATGTTGCTTTCTCGAGGATTAACAACGTTTCTGAACTTAACTTTTTGGTACTCGAAGAAAAAAACACCAAATGAGTTTATAACCCTTGGCACCCTCAGTAGTCTGTGGAATTTTGGAATAAAAATAATTCTATCTTTATATGTTAATAAAGTTATAACCTACCCTATCCACAACACACAATATAAGCTAACTTAATTGAAATCCTCCATCTACTTTGGTATCATTAAAAGTCCATGCAAACGAAGTCGCGAGCACCAGCTAGTAGGGAAAAGGTGGGTAGATATTGATAAGACCTACAATTACGCAAAATAAGTAACTTTTCTGGTTGATTTTTTACACCTTGTGTTGAAAAACCCAAATATCTTACGGAACCCTATTTTTCCAAAATAAAATATAGCCTATGTTACTCGTGGATAATGTAGCTTTCGAATGATGAAAGAATTTTTAAAATCAGTCCAGTAGTTTTTGAGCCTATTCATTACAAATTAACAAAGTTTTCCTCTTTATAATATTACTAGTATAGACAATAACTTTATTCTAGACAAAAATGAGTTATAACTCATAAAGTAAAACCTTGAAAAACAATTCGGAACATAAAGCACAAATTCAAGTTTTGCAATTAATACTTAAAACACAACTGTTTTCTAACTTACGTACTTATTTACAATAGCACAGATATCGTAAGCAGCCTTCTATAGCTGATTTTTCGTATTTTTCTTCGGTAAACTGAGAAATATTTATTTATTTACCTATCTTAGTAATTTTCTGTTCTCCCTTTTTTTAATTATGTCCCTTTGTTTTACAGTAATAATTTTGTTCTTTGTTTATAACTTTCATTTTTTACCTCAACATCAAATTTCCATCTTGCCCGTACGCCGGTATAGAATAGAATAGAATAGAATAAACTTTATTGTACACACACATAACACTTACAATTTCAATTGTAAAAAAGAGACGTACAAATGGCGACCTTATCACTATAAGTTATCTCTTCCATAAATACATTAACATATCTTATAACTTCACGAATATTTGCTTTAGTTATTATATCAACTAGCTGACCCGACAGACTTCGTCCTGTCAAAAAGATTTGTAATGTGGCAGTTTTTTTAACGCGACATTAAACTCCTCCAACTATGTATTCTGTGCTCCAACGCACACACGCACATTGTTTTGATAGATATGATCTTTGACGTTAGGAACACACCTACATTGCTTAGACAACAGTGAGTGCTTGTAATTTAATATGAACTTTATACCATAGCAATAAAGCTCAAATTGACTACGTTTTAGTTACAAATCATTTGTATGGGAAAAAGAAAAGGGCTATTTTTAGGGTTTTTCCAGCAATAATTCTAATTTTTCTCGCCGTAAAAACCATCCTTGAACTTCAACGAACATTTTAAAAAAAGATTTGGCCAAATTGGTCGAGGCGTTGTTGAGTTATGCGCTTACCAACACATTTTGCGATTCATTTTTATATATATAGATTTGCACGCTCGATTTGTAATGCATATTTACTCGCAAAGCAAAATATTCTTATTTCTAACTTATGCTAAGCAATCAAAGTAGAGAAATCTGACGTTTTTGTAATAGTTTCTTATAAAAAACAGCAGCTTGTACATTTTACTCGCTGGTGCGAATCGGACTAAATATCGTTCGTAGATCACATTCAGCAACGTGTCTCTCTGTGTGTAGCAGTACCCGCGAAAGATCACATATTTTGTCTATTATAAGCAGTATCCATCTTGACCTCACTTCCCCTATTGGAATTATAATATTAACATAAATATTTGCACGCTATTTATTGTTGATGGCTAAATGGGCTGAATTTAAATTGTATTTTTATATTTGATCAATTTTGCATTATGAAAATATATTTTTTCATTACGAATGTTTAAATTGTATTTCCATACACATGTATACAAATAAATTATTATTATTTATACATTTATGTACATGGACGACTAACGGTAAAAATTTACAAAATAAAAATGTTAGCTTAAAACCGACAGCCATTTACAGATTGTCACAGACAGACGTAGTATATAAGTAAGAAAGATCGCTTACAATCACGATAATGATATAGACTATGCTGCTTTACAACATAGTATAAAGCAAAGTCGCTTTCTCTGTCCCTGTAAACCTATGTATGTTTAAATCTTGAGAACTAAGCAATGGATTTTGATGCGGTTTTTTTTTCATAGATAGGTGCTTCAAAAATAAGGTTTTTATGTATAATACAAGACCACGCGTGCGAAGCCGCTGGCGGAAAGCTAGTACGCAATAAATATAATAAAACATGCATAATTAAATTTATAACATTAAAAACTTTCGAAAAGTAGGTTACCTATAATGCGCCAAATTAACGCTTTAATTATGATAAAAAGGTCGACGTTTATTCACTTTGACTGTTCACTAAATCTATTGCACACACGCTATAGAAATTAGTTCTGCCGAAATTTTGAAGATGCTCGGCATTAAAATAAGAAGGGTTTGCACCTGATGTGTTTTTCTAGGACCCTAAGAGTGATCTTTGACAGTTCAGGGCAATCCACAGCACAATAAGCAATTTTGACGAGCAAAAACAGATCAGAGATCTCACGTCGATTTTCTAAAAGGAGCGAGTGATGTTTCTCACAAATGTTCTCTTAACGACTGGAATCAGAGCGTTGTTTGGTACGAAAGCAAATATTATGAATTTTCTCTAATCGCCATAATATGTATGTACGTCTGGTATCCACACAACCAAGAGCCCTGGATGTTTTTGAAATTACAGCCTATTATTGTATATGCATATTTTTTCTGTTACTTTTCTCCTAGTTACCTTATATAGGTATACTTGTAAACGTAATCCGCCTTATAAGAAAGAAACAAAGACTAAAGTTAGTATTCGGTTCAATAAATTTACTTTGACATAAGAGAAAACATCAAATTGAAACGTGTTGACTTATATTGGTCGGACAATGGTTCAACGCTGGTAACAAATCTAGACCTCGTTTTATAACCCGGATTAAGTTTGTGTAATTTGACTGAATATTGAATACATACTACAAGTAAGTAAATAAGTCATACTACTATATTACTTGCAAGTAGAACAGATAACACAAGCCATAGAAACTTTGTTGAAGAAAAAAATAATAAACTGATATTTATTATCAGGTGTTACTTTACAGAAATCTAGATTATGTATTGTCACAATATTAATACAACTTTCAAGGTCTGTAGGTCATAGTTTGTACATATAATTAGTCGTTATAGAACAAAGCGAAGGCTATTAATTGCATGTATTGCGGTCCTTAAAAAAATATCAAAATTTATAATAGCCTTTACTTATAAGTATGTTCTTTACATGAATTTAAAATTTATTTATGGGTAGGTCAATTACATTTTGTAGAACTTTATTGAACATAGCAATGCATTTACCCAGAAATGATCCTCTGGTTTTCTGAAGTCTGAAGCTTGGAACGGCAAGTTTATTTTTATTTCTTGTATTTAGATTATGAACACTACTTTTTTTGTGAAGGAATCGTAATGTTTTCTCGTGTGCATAATATTCTCATAAATGTATTGAGAGGCAACAGTCAGTTTAAATATTTCTCCGAGAGATTCCCTAGACCGTAAATTATATATAGCACGGACAGCTCTCTTTTGTAGAATAAAAATATCCCGAATGCTAGCCGCAGAACCCCACAATAATATACCATACGTCATTACACTATGAAAATAACTAAAATATACCAATCTTGCCGTTTCAAGATTTGTCAAGAGTCTAATTTTCTTAACAGCAAAAGCTGCAGAACTCAGGTCTACTTGACAAGCTATCAATATGAGGATCCCATTGCAGTCGGGAATAGTGTAATACCAAGGAATTTTGTCGATTTCACCAACTCAACTTTACAGTTATAAGTGTACTAACATGCCTCACATTAGGTAATGCAAACTTTATGCATTTCGTTTTATTTGAATTAAGCTTTAAATTATTACTATCAAACCACTGTAGAACATTGTCGAAAGCATCATTTACATCGTCAAAACAATCATTAACCCTCTTAACTTTAAACACTAAAGAGGTATCATCAGCAAATAATACTGTCTCGCACAAATTCTTTGTAAAGTGAGGAAGATCATTAATGTAAATTAGGAAAAGCGATGGTCTTAATATCGATCCCTGAGGGACGCCCATAGTAATGGGTACCCATGCAGATTTCGCTTCATTAATTACTACTTTTTAAATTCTAGCAGAAAGATATGATTTTATTAGATTAAGTGAATTTTTCGTCACACCATTAATGCTCTAATTTCCCCAACTGTGTTTCATGACAAATTTGTTCTGCTCATTAAAAGCAGTAGAGATAGCCAAATTATTGGCTAAATTTTTAAAATAAAATACTAGCGAGGATGCTATTGGTCTCTTAAAATACAAAGAAAGATAATATTTCTCTCTTGTCAAATATAAATTAAAAATTAATTTGTTTCTGTCAATTACATGTATTTTTTTATTATAATGAGCTATTGTATTTAATGTTATATTTAACTTATATCTAATTGATGCAATTCAATACCGGGTGATAAATGGCATCGTTATATAACTATAAAATAATACTCTATAATAAAATATTATTATTTTATAATAATATTATAAAATTAAATTAAAATTTGTAAAAATAATAATTGATGTAAATATGTCACAACTACGAGTAGTTTAAACGCCGTAATTGTTGGCGCGCTTGGCGGGACGTTAACATATACGGCTAGAGATTTGACACTTTTAATCAATATGGATTTTGAGTGATTGATTATTATTCAGTTACCCTAATAGATTTGTAACTATAATAGTCTTTGTAATAAACATATAGTTAACCAAATTGGTGAAATACAAATAAAACGCCTAAATCATCATTTAAATTGTAATCTGCTGTTTATTTTGCGACATAATTCATTGGTGTTATTGCATCGATGTTAAGGTTTTGTTGTACATTTTCGTCACATCCGCTCTGAAAAGTAGCATGGTGTTTGAATATTTTGAAGCTACAGCATTTTGTGCACTTTTTTTTTAAATTATTTTTAAGACTAACACGAATTAATGGTGAAAAATATTTACATAGACTTTATTCTAAAGCAATAATGATCGTTATAAAATATATTTAACCATTTCTTTAATCAGATATAGCAGAATACTAAGTTAAATTTTTAAAATTAAAATACACTACCCGTCTTGTTACAAAACGAGACCTGTAAACCTTTTTTTTCATAATGGTTTGAACCTGTGGGTTTGAACCATATTTCTAACTTTAATCCTCATTTTATAATAAGACGTTAACCATTTATAATTAAATACAGGTACTGAACAGAATATCGATCTTATGTGATAATATTTAAGATCTAATTAAAGCGTATTTAGGTTAGCTGGTCTGCCCTCTAGACGTTGGTCTTCCTAGTGCCTCGGCCTCAGCCAGAGTGTCAGGCATCTTGGTGCCCAGGGTCTCCGGCTGCGTCAGCACCAGCACACCAGAGATCAGACCCATAGCGCCAAACATCATAGAAGGTATACCCTCCCAATATTCCATCTGAAAAAAAAATTAGTCAGATACCCGGGTTTCAAATATAGTTTGTCTGCGTGGGAAAGTATACTAGGAAGAATTCTTTCTTTCAGGATAGAATAGGATCAATGAGCTATTGGGATCAATACGAATCGGTGGGTTGCCTGCACAAAATCGCTGTGAAATAAATATTTATGTATGTTCATGTCATTTTCTTGTTTTGCAATAAAGAGTATTAGTTAATTACTTAACCGCATCGTAACCAAATGTGTTATCCCACCACGTTTTTTTGCATAGTATTGGTTCAGAAACCACTGGACCAATTTTAAAAATTTCATCTACGGGAAGCTACACTTACGGGCCTTGTTAACAGGTATTTCATTTTGAAGTGAAAGCAACACCGGTTGAAGATAATCGAAACTCCTTTTTTGTTCTCTTTATTGCAAAGTCCAAGCTTCTTAAAAGCTCGAGAGCATTTCTCTATCAAAGGAAGTTTAAGACCAATACCATACTGTATGTGTGTTACGATCAGCAGTTAGACGTGTTAGGCTGTCTTCAGGAATTTTCTGAGATCAAACGCTTGCTGTACGAGTTTTATGAGAGCTCAAGATATTTTCCCCGACACAGAATGCTTCTTGTTCAACTTGTTAATGCATGAAATAAAGGCCTGAGCCCCTACAATAGGTATATAAAAGAACTGATGATGATAATCAATACATTTAAGACAAAAAATTAGTAAAGCATTTAAATTAATAACTTAATAGGTTATTTTGGCGAACACAGTACTTCAAATTGTCAATTTTTTTTATTTATGAACCGATTGTAATAAAACATTTACAAAATGTTAACGGAATATTGCCGTAACACAATAATGAAAACTGCATTTAATTAGGTTCAGTCATTTCTCAGATAAGAGTACACAAACGCACAGACAAACCGACAAAAAATTTAAAATTGTTTTGTGTTCTATTACATTTATAATTGTCCTTCATAATAGTTAACGTTTTTATTAAAGTATAGATTTAGGTACACCATCACCCCATAAAACAGTGGTTCTAAACATTTTTGTTTAGAACCACTGTTTTATGGGGTATTTACACTGGTCAATGACATCCGCGTGCTACGTATGGGCAATTTCTGTTTCTCGCCTTCACTGTTCGATCATCGTATTATTGACCGAAGATCAAGGAACAGAGGTTACCCGCACTCCGTGTGCTTACCTCATCCACCGTAAGTAAAATCAAAGCAAAACAGACAATAAAATTCAACTATCAATTTTACTTTCACTTTCTATGGATTTTATAAAAGAAATGTGAATACGACAAATGCGCAATTTTCAAAATAATTAAGATGAAATGTTATTTAATTATTGCGAAAAACATATGGTTACAGAAATATATGGTCATTTCCATAACTTTTATGAGAAGTCTTGTTACTTTTCTAAACAGCAGAATGTTTTTAAATATATTTCAAAATGAACATGCAATAATAAACTTATAATATTAGGTCCTTACATATGAAATTGGCGTTTTGTCGTACTGGCCACTTTAATCACAAATATTTCCTCCTTGGTTGGGAATTCCAAATTTAAATTTATACAGCCATTTACACATGTATTTGTGTTTCGTTAGGCGGCGTTAATTAGTTTATTTTCTTCTGTTTGTCCTATTTACGTCACCCAGTATAAAAAAACTTGAAATATCGTGGTATTTACGAGTACGAGTTCCACCGGTGTACCAGTGCTGCGGAAACGGCTCGAAGGGTTAATGATGTGTACGACGGTTGTGTCGCAAAAGAACACACAGTACGTTTTTGGTTCTAACGTTTTCGTTCTGGAAATTTCGACATGCAGAACAACCCCGTGGGCGGCTGGAGACCCAAGTTAATAATGAAGAATTGAAGGCTATTGTGGAAGCGAATCCATCGTAAACCAAGTCCGAGTTAGCTGCAGGCTGCGGTGTTACTTATAAAACTGTTTTAGTCCACTTGAAGCAAATTGGAAAGATTAAAAAGCTTGAAAGGTAAAAAGCTTGAAAGCTTGAAAAGCCTCACGAATTGAGTGAAGCAAACCGGCAAACTCGCTTCGACTGCTGCGTTACATTACTTAACCGGCACAATAATGAAGGGTTTTTGTTTGAATCATTATCTGTGATGGAAAGTGGATTTTATAATCGGGAGCGCTCATCGCAATGGTCGGACCCTGTCATACCAGCCAAATCCTGCCCCCAGCGAAAATTGACCTTAAAAAGTTACTTGTAAGCGTTTGATGGACTAGCTTTTCTCAAGTCTGGCTAGACGATTACAGCAGACGTCTATTGTCAGCAATTGCAAACTATGTTGGAAAAACTAGCTGTTAAACAACCGAGGAGCTGGTCAATCGCTCTACGTCACTGCATAACAGACGGCTACCAAATTAGAAGAGCTTCAATTGGAATGTCTAAGACATCCACCGTACTCCCCGGACCTTGCTCCAACACACTACCATTTTTTTCGAAATTTGGACAATTTCTTGCAAGGGAAAAAAATCAACTCCGATGGGGCAGTGCAAATCGCCTTCAAAGATTTTATTGATTCCCGTCCGACTGGTTTTTTTTAGTAAAGGGATCAACGAACTACCTATGTGATGCCAAAGTGCATAGATAACAATGGGAGGAATCAAAGTTCATACTCACTCCCACACCAAACACCAATTTCATATGTAAGGACCTAATAATTATGCAAAATTTATCAAATATAAAAAATTAGAGTAGGTATATTATATTTTAAAGAAATCAATTCTTAGTTGTTTGTATGTTTTGTATGTTACGGTCAGCCTTTTGTTATCTTTATATTTATGCGTTATTTTTCAAAAGAAGCGGCTTAAGTAGGAAATTTAATTTACGATAAAAATAATCAAGTTCATAAATTTTACGACAGTATAATAGGAAATTAATTATTTTAGGATGTTTTTCTATTATCAATTTATCGGCATTTTACAATGATCAATCGGAGATAGTTCGCTGGAGGCATTGTAAATATTATTACCTACTGAATTACAAATTATTGCCTATATAAAGCGAAAATACATATTCTTTTTTCCAAAAATGACACGGATGTAATTTAAAATTTGGAAGAGTTAAAGTTCGTACGGAGAAAGATGGTAGATAGTTATTAACATTTTACAGATGAAATACACATTCCTCTACCTTATGTTAAAGAAAGAAGTACTTCAAATATAAAATAAAAATATATGGCCAAATATTGACGATTGGCTAAACATTAAATAGCACAAATTGATATTTCAAGGACAAAAAGCGAGCAGAATTTTGACGACGAGTTACGGAGTTTCATTTTCCCCATGAAGAGATACGTGTTTGATTAATATCTATATCAAATGATTATATTTACAGTTTTGTTTTAAAGAATTAAAAACAAAACAAGAATATTTCTTTAGCATTAATTTTGTATTTTTAATTTGATCAATCATTTTTTGTACTGTAATTAAATACTTAACAGAAAATACCTATGTTTCATGAGCAAATATAAACTATAAAGTTGTTAACAAATGAATGTTTAAAACTACAGATATTGGTAAATAGCGGCTTAAGTCCGATGCTTGCTTTTGTAATCAACAAACGTTTGAAAATTCTCACGGACTTGATAGTGTGTTTGTCGGTTTTGTTTTATGCGTAGTCAAAGATAATATTTTAATTGATAACAACAAGCTAATTAAGATTTTGATTTTATTTATATATTAATAATAATTTTCATTAACAAGGTCGACGGAATTGATATCTGTCGTTTGTAGGTCAATATAGATATTAAGTACCTACTTGACAATGGAAGATAAATCATAAAGAGTTGGTAACAAAGAATTTATAAGATATTCCGCGGTAAATTTGTAACCTATGATACTTTTTGAATTTGACACTAGTTAGATAAATCAATAAATATTTTTTAATAAACACAACTTTCCGAATATCCGAAATCAGTTTTGTCTCGACCATGAAATTTTTGCCTAGATATAGTATTCAGGATTTTGGTAATCCTAAATAAAATATCTAGGCAAAAATTTTAAATCTGGCCCCTATAATTTTTCAGTAGACCAAATTTCTTATAAATCTAGTGGTGCTTGTTTAGAAGCGAATTAATTATTTTATTATAGACATAGTTCTGATAGCTAATTACGCCAGGTAGTTCAAATCGAGCTCTAAGACTTATTGAACAAAATACATTCATACTATACACATAAATGACTTTACCAGTGCAGGTGTGAGTGGTGCAGTGATGGAACCGATTCTGCCAATCATGGAGGAGAAGCCGAGCAGGCTGTGCCGGTACTGCGTCGGGTACAGCTCCGACGTGAACAGGTACAGAGACGTCACCACAACTGAGATGCCGAACTTGCCAAGCAGGAAGATGATCAGTCTTAATACTGCTAATTCTGCAATTAAATTCAATCAATACCTACATTATTTAGACTTATCTTTTCTGTCGCATAGGAGGCTGATTTTCTCGATTTGTTCTAAGTATTTTGTATAATTACCTAATCAAGGAAGTTTTACTATTGACTTAAGGAGTTATGTACCTTAAATTAATAATCCAATTAGCCTAATTTCAGTGTGGCGCTTTACGTTATCATTTTGGATGTGTTTGATAATAGTTATTTTATCTATTTTTATATCATCTCCTTAATGTACTTCATGTAAAATTAATATAATTTTAAATGAAATCCCGAAAACAATCTTTTTTTATAAAATAAAAAAAGATATATAGCATGACATCGAGATCCGCATTTTTTTCCTCATGCTTTTAATTAAAAAAATCTGTTTAGAAATATGAGCTCAATTTAACAGTGGTTAACGCGTTATTCATAGAACTGGAGCCGCTCCGTGCTTTCCAAAGTCATGGTCAAAACCATTAATCCCAACGGCATCTGCTGTCGTTAACACCCAATTATCTGCAGTGGGCTCGCATGTTGGGTTATCCATGGCCTGTTATCCCTAATTGATTAGATTCCATTTATAGGGAAAGCTTGTCTTAGTGGTGAAAACATTACTAGTTTGATGATGTCGTATTTATCTCACGGATAAATACGACTAAATGAATGAAGTTAAAATCATTTTATGAGTTACCATTCGGCATAAAGGCAAAAGCAATATTGCAAGCGGCACTTAAGAAGAAACCACCGCACAATGTCAACTTCCTCCCAATTCTATCCAAGATGAGCACAGCGCTGTAGAAGCCGGGGATCTCAACGGCTACAGTCAGGATGTAGTTCAAGTGCCTCTGGTCTGAGAGGCCGGTGGAGTTGATGGAAAGTCCATAGTACACCAGGATCGTAGTGATCCACCATATAGGCGTGGTGCACACACGCCGGAGTAGAATTGGAGACTTGAGTATCGCTTTCACTAATGAGTCGTTGGTCTGGAATGTTATAAATGGTTATTTAATTGGCTTGATTTTTCTTTGTTATATAAAAAGGATTGAATTTTGGTTCATTGATAGAATTCATGGCGGTAAAGATATTTTTTTTCTATTTGCTCAAAATGAGATGCTTAATTCACAGTTGCATTTTATTTAAAGAAATCCATTTAAAGAAAGGAGATAAATTTGTGAAGATTTTTTTTTAAACTCTCATATCTAATGATTATGGTATCGATGCCATTGAAATTGTTGTGTCTAGTATATACCTTTATTAAAAAGAAGTAAAATTGAATTGTCAGTGTGTTTGTTTGCATTGAATAGTTCTGAACCTTTTAAACAATTTTTTACGCAGGTGAATAGATTAGTTATTCATATTTTATCTCAAATACGTGTTATTCTAGATGTTTCATTATCTGTACCAGCTCATTCCAACAAAGTTATTTACAGATCATTAATAAAACAAATGGAGGTACAAGATTATGATTTTTGTTCGTTTTACAGCATTAGTTTTATAGTAAAACAATTACCCACTGTTTCTGAACGTGCTAAAAATTCATCTAAAATACACAATAATAGTTTTTAATTTTCATACTGATGAAAATTGGGGCGCGGATTGTGTCACATTAGACGCCTTATTTAAATAGAAGTTTTATGAACATATAAACAGAACTTTCTTTAATATGTGGATTATTTTTCATGTTATCAAAATCACTTTTATTTTTGTAAAATATATATATTTTGAGTGTTAAAAAAAATTGTGTTAATATAATAAAAAATCACAGGAAAGCAAATTACGATCTTTTGTTATCTTCGATGATATACTAGCAAATATGTCGCCGAAGTATTTTTTGTTATTTGAAAGAATGTTTGCAGTTACGAATATTTTGATAAGCAAACTAAAAATTTACCTCCAATGATGAGGGTGGCGGAGGTGCGGGTGTCAATAAAGCTTGCATTGATTTTTCACTTATATGAGTTCTGTTTACTCTTGCCACTTTCTCTAATACTACTTTTGCCTCATCAAATTTTTCTTTAGACAGTAGCCATCTCACACTCTCCGAGAGGATCCAGTAATACGAGATGATGAGGAAGCATGGGATATTGAGTGCAAGGAGGAGATAACGCCACGACGGGATCAGCCAAGCTGTGCCTCCTAATATCACTTGACCAAGAGCGAACATTGAACTCGATGTAGCGCTTGCTAGTACACGATACTTTGGTCCCACCATTTCCGCTCCTAAAAACATAATAATAAATTGAAGATTCACAACTGGTAATTATCTCAGAGACTTAACCAAATAGTGCAACCGTAATGGCTTCTATAATTGTTAGTTTGTTGTAAATGCACCTTATTTCAAGATCTGGGGTGCCCTGCCAACGGCTTCTTTGTGCAGTTTATGAAGCCGTCAGCATAACGCCCGTATATTTGTGGAGAAATCACAGTGATGAGCTCTACTCCTTATTATAAAGAGTGCATAATTACCGATAATATAAGCGGTACTATAGATCCCAGCACCCAAAGTAGTTTGCAAGATTTGCATCGCCAAGTACATAGGGTAGTTTACGGAGAAGGACCTAATGATGCCGATGACGGCCATGTTGAAAACACTGATGATTAGGGCAACTCGTCTTCCAAATCGGTCCGACACGTATCCGGTGATGGGCAATACAAGTAATGTCCCAACGCTGTTCAGTGTACCAGCTAACGCTCTCATCCATTCTTGACAACCCAAATCAAACTGTAATGACATTCATAAAAAAAATCTAAAAACATGGCAGGTAAAGAATGAAATATCATTTTCATTTTAGATAAATTAAAAAAGTAACTCTGCGATTAAAGTGAATGTTTTGTAAGTTTAACTTCTTATTAATGTTCATCGACTTGTATGAATTATTTTGTAAATCTATAATATCGATAAATTATTGCTTTCTTTTTTTCTTAAACTACGTTAAATTAACAGCAAAACTTACGTCATATACCACAGAGTCACTCCTGTCATAAACAAATCCATCGCAATTCACGCTACTAGTAGAATCAAAGAGATCTGCTGGACAAATATCCAAGGTACCGTTAGCGAGAGACGGAAACCGCTGACAACTAGCAAACGTATTGCCCGACTGCGGTACGGCGTCTAGTATCCAATCTGGATCAAATCGTACCGACTTGCTGTCCTCTCCACACTCAGGGATTCGACACCTGCGAATGATTTGAATTATATCTTTGTCTTAATTAAAATTTTACTTAAAATCACTTGCAAAATTTGGTACAGAATTAGTATTTACGCTAAATCATTATGATTATGTGATAGTGTTAAAATTAACCTGTGGGGAATAGCCGCGGCGCCGAAAACAAATTCATTCATGAAAGCCGACGCAAGGAGTGGTATTCCTACCAACAGAATATTGATCAGCTGGAACCGACCTAACTGACCCAGCTCGTTCACCAGCACATAGTCCAGGTCTATGTGCTTACTACGAGCTTTTTCATTATAGCCATTCTGACCAGGTTCAGGTATATGGTCTTTTGTTGTATCAGACATTTTGACAAAGTTTTCTCTAGATATATTTTCAAATTGATTATTAATAATTTAAATAAAAAAATATATATATATTGAACTTCCTTCAACCGTTTCCGCCAAGATACTGATTCGAGTGAGCCTTAATACTACTACTATTGTATAAATTATTGGCTAATCAGAATATAGATTAACAGATATTATTTGAAATCATTTGATTCTTATCGGTGGTTGTTGTTGACTTCTATTTTTTTTACCAATCGCGTAATAATAAATGTCAGGAGTAAGGACTCCTGTAATTAATATCAGGAGTAAGGACTCCTGACATTTATTATTACGCGATTGGTAAAAAAAATAGAACGTCAGATGAATTTTCCACGGGCCTCAAACGGTATAGTTACGCCACTAGGTCTACTTATAGAATAATAGTACTCGTCTACGGCTTGATTATGATTGACAGAAATTTTGATTGATAAAAATCGTGAGGCACATCCAATATCTATAATCGTCGATTAAAATGTTCGTTATAAAGTATCACACCACAAGATAATAACATCGAATTTACCTTTGCACACATATTAACAGACGATTATAAATATTGGACGTGCCCCACGATTTTATTTTGATTGATTGATTTTACTCATGACTGTATCCATTCATTTATTTTTAGATTTTAGTACATTTATCTGCAACATTTTTCTGTTTACAATAAAACCGTTTAACTTAAAAAGTTTTCTATTTTTTTTATTTTGAAGTTTTTAGTTTTTATTTCTTAATCTATTTTGTATAGTACATTGTATTATACTTACCAAGCTCTTAAATTTGATACCAATATTGATGGGATTGAATAAAACTATATTATCCGCAATTTTGTAGCGGCAGCCATCTTTGATTTTTATTTTGTATAGTGCACTGTGTTCTATTTAAAAAGCCCTTTCACTTGATACCCATATTGATGGGATAGAAGAAAAAAAACTATAATATCCGCCATTTTGTAGCGGCAGCCATCTTGAATTTTGATTTTGTGTGATGAACTGTATTCTACTTGACATGCCCTTTCATTTGATATCTATATTGATGGGATTAAGAAAAAAATGAGTTGTCCGCCATCTTGTAGCGGCGGCCATCTTGGATTTTAATTTTGTATAGTGCATGTTCTAGTGGCGTAGCGTAGCGAGTAGCTCAGTGGCGTAGTGGATAAGCGCCGCGGCCCGCGATCGTTGTCGTTAGGCAACTTTCGTAAGGGTCGGTCACGGGATGGGTGACCAAAAATTGATTATCTCGAGCTACTCCGTGCTTCGGAAGGCACGTTAAGCCGTTGGTCCTGGCTGCATTTGCAGTCGTTAATATTCTCCATTAGATTTTAACCCTTAATATTTTTATGAAAATGTTACTATTTTTTGGCATGTGACCGGTCAAATTAGACAAAAATGAGATTATCGGTCCATAAATTTACAACAAGCTGAAAGTGAGTAAAATAAAAAAGTAGAGAAAATTCATCTGCGTATAATCTTCAAATAATATTTAATTAATTACATTTTAATTTAATAAAATAATACAAGTCTACTATGCCTACTAAATAGTATTATATCTATTTAACATAATTTTACTCGTTTATCACATTTACCGTAGTGATGTAACGAATCTCATTTTTTAACGTTAAAACGAATATCTACTATCGATATTCGCGAATAGGTTTTTTTTATTTGGCGTTAATTATTTGCGACAATTATTTTTAACTAAACTAAGACGAAACTTAATTCAAGGATATCATTATCGAACATTAAAAATATGTAAAGATTTCAGAAAAGAATTTGTTACTATATTACAAATTTCATTGTATATTTTTCGTTTTCTTAGTTCTAACTAGCTTTCTGCCAGCGGCTTCGCCCGGGTGTATTGTATTATACATAAAAACCTTCCTTTTGAATCACCCTATCTATGAAAAAAACTGCATCAAAATCCGTTGCGTTGTTTTACAGATATAAGCATACATAGGGGTATAGGGACAGATAAAGCGACTTTGTTTTATGCTATGTAGTGATGAGAAGTTAGATGTTATATACTATAAATCTGAATCTTAATATTATTAATAAGTGATTTTTTTATTTAAATACTTATAAACAAGATATAAATATACATATTAAGCAAAATAACACAAGTGCACTGAATGAGGAACTTACTCTACGCGAGGCGGAGAAAAAGACTTCATTAACTAACATAAATTTATCTACTATCAGTAACCTTTCCGTATCTTCGTACGACATTTTTGAAAGGTTTCTTGAAGAGTATTTTTGTTTTTATAATTACGGTCAATAAAATTAATTTTGGCATTCAGTCTGTTATAAAGATGTCCAAGTATAATAAAGAATCTAGAGAAGAAAGCATGTTTTGTATGTTTTCTCCTTTTTTTAATGATTTCAAAGCTAATTCGAAGTATTTTTTTGTTTTAAATTTTATCTTCTTAATAAAATTATCACCATTTTTTCTGCTATTCATATTCGCAATGTAACAAAATTGAATTTGTTCCTTATACATATGTTGTCTGCGGCAAACCTCTTTCGCTCCCTTTTGTGGCATCCAGTCTGTGAATTTTACATTCGTAAAAATTTTGATTGTGTTATTAAAAACTAAAAATCATATGTTGCGTTATATGATTAGCGACACATCAATACAGTCAAGACACAAAACATATGCACATACTGTGTTATTATGAGGGTGCTGTGAAATTTCGCGAGATTTGTTGCCGTTTAAACGATACATTTGAATAACTGCAATAGAAGGTCTTGCGGATGCTGGCGGGGTGTGGAAGTTTCTAGATATACTTGTTTCATAGTTGGAGTACCTAATTGATTTATGCTAAATAACGTGTGATTATATTATTATTCAGTTATGCGAATGCTAATATTTGTAACATCATTAATACATCTTATCTATATAGATAATAATGAATGAATAAACAATATATAATGCGTGCGTTTATCGCTCTACTCGCCTCAAGCAACCGGAATAAAGAAGTCTAATGTCTATTTTCCTTAAGATCTGCAGTACTACAAGACTTCCGATCAGTGTGATGTATATTAATAGTTTTTCTGATATAATTATTGACTTTTGATCACCTATAGGACGCCGTAGAGATAAAATTTTAAGACAATATTTATAACTATTATATTAATTGATGAGACCAGTCTCAGTTGTTCGAAATGATGTCTCGGGAATGACATTTAGAATAAAAATTAACGTGTATATGTTACTGGTAATCTATATAATCCGATAATGCATGAAATCCCTAAAACGTGTAGCTAATGTATGAAATATCAATTTATTTTATAGTTTCCCAAGGTATGCTATATAGAATGTATAAGATGCTGTAATGTATGTATAAGATGAGTGCAAGGAAGGTGGGGGCCTGCGGAAAAGCTTCGCCCACGTGGCCCGTACTGCGTGCACACCGAACTGCTATAATTAAAAATCTGCCAGTGAGCATTCATATTTTAGACATGATCCAGCTTGTCAACATCCAACTGCAAGTCAAGTCAAAGTCAAAATAATATTTATTCAAATAGACTTCTTAAAAGTACTTTTTAATCGTCCAACATTTTTTCCCTACCGCTCGTACCCTGCTGGGGCATAGGCCTGTTCAATAGATAGAAGCAAATGATAATAATTTATCGGTGTTTCTGTGGATAATGCACATGTCTTTATAGAATAGTCCAGATCTTCTTTCCAATTTTATGCACATTAGAATCGACACGACTTGCAAAAATAAAATAAATATTTTCTTTGACAAAGTAGTCCTTTTATTGAAGTTGTTTAATTATTACGCCGTCATTAAACTTGGAGCTGTATATTTGACTAGTGTGCTTGTTCTGGACTTTCAGATAAGGGCTTAAAATATTTTGATGATTTGCTTGTGCAAGATTCTGTGACTGATCCTCAAAGCAACTTGACGATCAGTTTGTTTTTGCTTTCTTAATTCAGCATTTCAGAGATTTAAGTGGACGACGCCAAATTCAATTTCGAATCGAATATCCGTTAATATTCTGCCATCTTTTCAATTATAGGTATCAAACGAATCTATTTCCGCCCACTCAGTATATTTTTTTTCGGCGCGTTATACCGTTATTTTTTTTTCGCCGATGAATAAAACTCGGAAAAAGTACAGAATACAAACAAAAAAAAATCTAAAATCCATTTTTTTTTCATTTATTTTGGCATCAAACAGTCATGTAAAATAACAATAATTTCACAAACAGTAATGACTAAAAAGACCTACAGTGCCCAAGTTTAGTACAAACAAAGTGTTTTCATGTTTAAACGTGATCAGACAAATATTCATGCAGTAATAAAAACAAAATGCAAGTGATTACAACAAAAATCAAATCAGAGATGACGATAATAATTTTTTTATTTTTTACTTTAGGTTAAATTTCTTTGAAGTTCTTTTTTAATATTCTTCAGAGATGTGTTAAATAAATCTATGTTTGACAGTTTCTTATTATACATAGTGGTGGAACGATAAAAGAATGCGTTTTGGGTATAATTTTTCCTGCGACGCGGAGGAACAAACAGAGGTAGTGTACGTGAGGAGCGTATAGGGAGACGAGTTCGACCGGAAAATTGAACATGGCCAAGAAGCTCTGACGAGTCGATAAATGAGTGTAAAATCTTATAAAGAAAAACTGTATCAAACATAACGCGGCGATTGCGAAGAGTAAGCAAGTTACATTTATTCAGTGCTTCATTGTATGTCATGTTACTGCTGTTATTTCTATGATTAAGGCATTTCAAGAATTTCTTTTGAACTCTTTCGATTCTGTTAACGTGAATATTATAACAGGGGTTCCAAACAGTACTACAGAAATCAAGGATAGAGCGAACAAAAGAAAAATAAAGTATCTTTAGCGTGTCTGTATTTTTAAAAGGTTTGCTAATCCTAAGAACGAAACCCAACCTGCGAAAAGCGGCACCAACAATATGGTCTACGTGATAGTTAAATGCAAGATTCGAGTCCATTATGATCCCCAAGTCTCTGATATGGGTCACTCGTTCGACAATGTTGTTATTCATACAATAATCAAAGTTAACTTTATTCTGATTTCGCGTGTAAGAGATGACGTGACACTTATTGATATTTAAGAAAAGTTGGTTTTTGAGACAATAGGCACACAGCGCACTCAGATCTTCTTGTAACTTAAGGCAATCGTCACGACAAGTCA